ATATATATATATATATATATATATATATATATATATATATATATATATATATATATATATATATATATATATATATATATATATATATATATATATATATATATATATATATATATATATATACAATGTTTTTCGATTACTTGTGTTAGAATAACGAACTGCCTTCCATAAGGATCTAAAAAATTTGGTTAACGAAGTTCTTACGAACCGACCTCAACATGTTTTTGCTTGCACTGACCGGGCAACCAGCTTTAGTATCAGTCCGCCAATACATTAATCGGTTCTAGGGCTTAAATTCCTTACTATTTTAGTAAATATCAAGAAGTTTATACTATTCAATAATTTTAAAAGTTTAATATTCAATTTTTTAGTCATTTTAACAATTATTGAACATAATTGAAGGTAAAGTGACTAGTTTAATGGGCGGCATCCAGCCTCTTAACACAGCAAACAGGAGTTAGTCTCTCTCTGTTTTCACTGGAGGTAACATCTTGCTTGAGACTCTTCAACTAAACACTTTTTTTCTGTGTTTCCAAGCAAATTATTGGTCATTTTGAAATATATTTTACATATTGACAATATATAATGCAGTGCAGTGTTGATTTAAAGAAAATAATCTTGAATTACACCAAGAGAGCTAAAATTTTATGGGTGAAATGGCGCCATGGGGTGACTTCTCTTCCACCCCAATGCCTTCTCTTCTTCCTTCTCCTCCACCCCCATTCTAAATCCCATGATCATCATCATCGTCCAGGAGCCTTCTACATACACACCTCAAAGTAAGTGAACTTTTCTACCATTTTTGTTGAATTTAGGAAATTTTCGGTGAGCTGGAACCAATTACCCAAAAACCCATTGAAACAATGGTTTCGGTTAACGAACTTTTCGGTTAACGAACTTTTCGGTTAACGAACGACCTTCTGGAACGGATTGAGTTCGTTAATGGAGGGGTCACTGTATATATATTTATATATATATATATTTATATATTTATATATTTATATATATATATATATATATTGAATCCACAGGTACTACAAGTGAAATCACAGAATGGAACAACAGAACATATGGGATTAATTCCAATAGAGACTGGCCCAATTCCCCCAAATCTCCCACTTCTTTTTCCATTAATAACACTATTCTAGTAAAAATAACATCTTACCTATATGATGGTACATGCACACAATTAATACTTAAGAGAAATAGAGAAATACAGTCACCAAGTTAATGTCCATTCAAATAATGGACTCAACTCCCTCCCCCTCTTCTCACACTACACTGCTGGCTCTTCCCTCTGAGAAATTTTGGGGGGAAAACCACTAGATTTTAAGGTATAGTAATAAATAATACCTCAAACTAAAGTTAGGATAATATAATTGACATTGCTGGATTCCTTGTAAGACCAGGAATATTTTGAATATAAACGTCATATATTATGCACAAAAGATAACATATTTACTCAGAGTAAACAAAATACTTACATTAGATCTAAAATTTGTATGTCTAATGCAAAATCTATGATGTTTATATTCAAAATGATCATCAAATTGTAAGAATTCCAGCAATGCAAATTATATTCTGGCCGGGTAATTTGTATGAATTTTATGAGCTAAAACAAATATCTTCAGTTAATAAAAAAAATATATATTCTTCACGACACTATCTGTCAATCAAAGTACCCCACCTTGCCTCCCCCCGTCTTCCAACCGCGCCAGATGGTCGGTCCGTCCCAACCCTCCCCCCCCACCCCCCACCAACCCTCCCTACAAGAGAGATGTTGGGTGAAAAACTAGATTTTAACATTTAGTACAGGTGGCCTATCAAAAATCCGGCAATCTCGGGACCTGAGGAGTGCCGGATTTTCGAAAATGCTGGAAAACTGATGGTTATATTTGCTGTATAAGTTTAACAGAAAATGACTACCTGTACAGTCCTTTAAACAAAGAAAATCAAACACTTAAGTTAGGATAATATAATTGACATTGCTGGATTCCTTGTAAGACCAGGAATATTTTGAATATAAATGTCATATATTTTGCACAAAAGATAACATATTTGCACTGAGTAAACAAAATACTTGCATTAGATCTAAAATTTGTATGTCTAATGCAAAATCTATGATGCTTATATTCAAAATGATCATCAAATTGTAAGAATTCCAGCAATGTAAATTATATTTTGGCCGGATAATTTGTATGAATTTTATGAGCTAAATAAAAAAATTATACTTCACCCGCGTATATGAGTAGATGCACCGCGTAAAGTGGGAATTCCGGTTCTGGCAGGGTACCGCGTAAATGTAGAAACGCGTAAAGTGAAACCGCGTAAAGCGAAGGTTCACTGTATATATATATACACAGCTAGACCCTGACTTACGACGGGGTTAGGGACCCAAATCCAGGTCGTAAGTCCGAATGGTCGTAAGTCGACAGATAAAAAAATAAAATAAATAAATAAATAAATAAAAAATCTACAATGAAATACAGTACAGTAAAAGTATTAAATAATGAGCAATGGATACAGTACAGTGAAAGTAATAAGTAATGAGGAATGGTTACAGTGTGACTGAGCACTTACCTTTAATGTAGTCAGCTGAATGCACATGGGGCCCCCATAATTTTCTAATTATACATGGAGACTACATTAACTGGAAACGTTTCGGTATAGAAAATCATTGTGTCATTGGGGAAATGGTCACAACTCTGCGGCGGTTGTAGAGTCTGGGTATATATATATATATATATATATATATATATATATATATATATATATATATATATATATAACATATATATATATATATATATATATATATATATATATATATATATATAACATATATATATATATATATATATATATATATATATACTGCTATATATATATATATATATATATATATATGCAAGTAATCACTGTAGGTACACGTGATCTAGGTATATGCTGATAACCACAAGGAAAGAAAGAAAACACGAAGTGGTTATCCAGCATGCATATATATATATATATATATATATATATATATATATATATACTATATATACTATATATATATATATATATATACTATATATAGTATATATATATATATATATATAAGTTGTACCCCACTTAACGCGGTCAATAGAACCCAGAGGGTCCTGTGTTAAGTGAAATCCGCGTTAAATGAACAACAACATATGGGATTAATTCCAATAGAAACCGGCCCGACCCGCAAACTCCACTTTTTGAAGACACATAACTATGTTGTAGTAAAAATAACATCTTAATTTTATGATGGTACATGCACACAATTAATACTTAAGAGAAATAGAGAAATACAGTCGCCAAGTTAATGTCCATTCAAATAATGGACTCGACTCCCTCCCCCTCTCACACTACACTGCCGGCTCTTCCCTCTCTGAGAAATTTTTTGGGGAAAACCACTAAATTTTAATAAATAATACCTCAAACTAAAGTTAGGATAATACAATTGACATTGCTGGATTCCTTGTGAGACCAGGAATATTTTGAATATAAATGTCATATATTTTGCACAAAAGATAGCATAGTTACCCAGAGAAAAAATTTTATCTAAAATTTGTATGTCTAATGCAAAATATATGATGTTTATATTCAAAATGATCACCAAATTATAAGAATTCCAGCAATGTAAATTATATTCTGACCGGGTAATTTGTATGAATTTTATGAGCTAAAACAAATATCTTCAGTTAATAAAAAAAAAATCATCTTCACGACACTATCTGTCAATCAAAGTACCCCACCTTGCCTCCCCCCTCTTCCAACCGCGCGGTCAGTCCCAACCCTCCCCCCCACCCCCACCAATCCTCCCTTCAAGAGATGTGGGGTGAAAAAAATAAATTTTAACATTTTGTATTAAATAATACCTCAGATTAAAGTTAGGATAATATAATTGACATTGCTGGATTCCTTGTAAGACCAGGAATATTTTGAATATAAATGTCATATATTTTGCACAAAAGATAACATATTTACTCAGAAAACATTTTATCTAAAATTTGTATGTCTAATGCAAAATATATGATGTTTATATTCAAAATGATCATCAAATTATAAGAATTCCAGCAATGTAAATTATATTCAGACCGGGTAATTTGTATGAATTTTATGAGCTAAAACAAATATCTTCAGTTAATAAAAAAAAAAAAAAAATATTCTTCACGGGGTAACAGATGGTCGGTCGGTCCCTCCCTCCCCCCCACCCCCACCAACCGTCCCAAGGAGATGTGTGGGAAAACCAGAATACTTACCTTTTTTGTAATAAATAATACCTCAAACTAAAGTTAGGATAATATAATTGACATTGCTGGATTCCTTGTAAGACCAGGAATATTTTGAATATAAATGTCATATATTTTGCACAAAAGATAACATAGTTACTCAGAGAAAAAATTTTATCTAAAATTTGTATGTCTAATGCAAAATATATGATGTTTATATTCAAAATGATCACCAAATTATAAGAATTCCAGCAATGTAAATTATATTCTGGCCGGGTAATTTGTATGAATTTTATGAGCTAAAACAGGCAGTCAGGCAGGGTGGTGGGTGGGGCAAATCTAAAAATAGCATCTCGAGCCGGACACTCACCGCGTATATGTGGAAAAAATCAGTGTTAAGTGAAAGTTCAGCTCTGGCGAGGCACCGCGTATATGATAAAACGCGTTAAGTGAAACCGCGTTAGGCGGGGTAATACTGTGTGTGTGTGTGTGTGTATATATATATATATATATATATATATATATATATATTATTATATATAATATATATATATATATATATATATATATATATATATATATATATATATATATATATATATATATATATATATATATATATATATATATATATATATATATATATATATATATATAATCACAGTTTGGAATGCCACTTCCAACAGGAAATGACTGTACATTATAGTACTGTTGTTTTTGAGTAAGTGATTTTGATTTAAATTGTTTTTACAGGTCCAGTTGTGGGGTGGTGCATTAGTTTACTACCACAAAAGAGCCTCACTTCCCGAGGTCAGGAACGTGCGGACTTCAAAACTTCACCTTGTAAATTGCAGCCTCTTGTTGGGCCGGGGGGGAAGCTAGTTCTTGTTGGCCCACCGTGCACAGTCCCAGCCTGATGTGTTCCAGGTTAGGGTGTACACCTTGGTAATGTCATATATATATATTTTTTTTGTCCGTCACTGCCATGCTTGGGAGTTTGGTGATGGTGTCTGGCACTGTAAACTCTGAGATGATGCAGTGGTGAACTGTATATAAACTTTCTTGCTTATTATGGCTCAAGTTGACCTAGATATCATTATAATGAACAGGTTTGTCTGTAAGTGCTGCAGGCAGGGATATTTCACTGAAGTTTCTGTTACTAGTTTCTTTTGAAGAAAGAATTTCTCAGTTCAGTGCCTGTTACATGGGGTGATAGGAAGATTTAAGGGGCCTAGTGCAATAATTAAAAGAAGTGTAATAGGAGTTTCTATAAATATAGTGAAATCATTTGGCAACAAGGTACTGTATTGAACAACGCATTATCCAAACCACTTGTGTTCATTAGAGTACAAGCCTGTTGATTTATATAGTAATACACCCTCTGTATTTTGTTGCTATGCATGAATAAGCTGTAGAGTAGCTTATAAATTACTGTAGTGAAGTAGCTCCTTCTTAGGATTTTAAATTTAATTTGGTAAAACCAATTATGTTAATACTGTACATTAGAAAATTTTAATTGGGTTTATAATATTGTAATGGAAGATACCGTATGTGTGAGGAAGGTAAATCATGCAGAGTTGAGTGGGTCAGAGCTGATGATTGGTTACAAGTCAGTTGGACCCCAGTTGTCATTTGACCCAATTAACAATACCAACTCGTTAGGATTGGGACCCATTGAAATTGTTGTTCATCAGGATTGGGGCCTGATGGTACCCGGACCCAGTTGATTGGTCACCTGAGGATATGTGTAGGTGAAATAAGTTGTGTTGTAATGAAGAGACTATACAAATATCTGTTTGAGGAATTTTGTCTGAATGTGAAATAGATGATGGGGACACAGTACATAGGAAAGAGATGAGAAATATTAGAGCAATGTGAAAGCCCAGGTTCACTTTGTTTTTCCTCTTGGTTGTTGTGGCTCACATACATGATACAGTAACACCCCAGAAATTTAAAGTTCCTTGGAACAAATTGTATTCTGTTGTGTGGATTTACCAGATAATTGGCAGTATGTCCTGGCTGATAGTGGTAATGTTGAGTTAACATTCATGACCTTCCAAAAGCTCTTCCTAAGGAACAGAAAATGAAATGAAAGTACAGCATGCCCTGACAATTTGTGACTTTTTTAATTTGGATGACATTCTGAATGTTCCCAAGAATGTCTAAGGATAGTTTTAAAGTTGATTTGAGGGTAGACTCGCACATTTTTAATACATTTGTTTTTTATTATTTGTAAGAGGATTTTTCCATTATGTGTTTTATTGTGTCTGCCACACACACACACACATATATATATATATATATATATATATATATTATATTTTTTATATTTTTATATATATATATTATTTTTTTTTATATAAAAAATATTGTCTAAGAAACAAAGTATACATTTCTTTTGTAAATATAACCCCCTCCCAGTCAGCAAATGTTATTAGTGGTTGGCTATTCGCAGCCATTTTGAGAACCTAACTCCCTTGAATTATAAGGGCATGCTGTATAGTTTAAAATATAAAAGTACTGTTCCAAGTAAGATACAACAAAAACAGATGTTGTACAGGAATACCTTGGTTATCATTAGGGATGCGTTCCTGAAAGTCATTGCAATTAATGAACTGCGAATATCAGGACAATTTTCCCCATAAAAATTTATGTAAATGGGGAGATGTGCTTCCAGTCGGCAACTTTCACCACATATATTCTTAGGTGTCAGGCACGGGTTGGGATGTGTTGCGTCTCTGTAACAAAGCGTGTTCGGCATTTGGGCCTTCGTTATTGGCTGGACATTGATTACAGAGAATCATCCAAGATAAATCTTAGTGATGTGAAAGTGTAAATCAATGTAGGATTTTTAATGTAGGCGTGATTGTATTTTTTGGCTTTATCCTGGGATTTAGAAGTACAGTATTGAGTCAAAGGGCCTACAACCACAAGTAACATATGTAATGACTTTTCTTTTATGTTTCACGGTTGTGGTCGCAGCCTTGATAAAAGGCCAACAGAGTGTAGTCCTGTTTCTTTAGTTAAATCAGTTCATAAGCGCCATCTTCTTGACTGCAGAAAGTTTATGCGTAACCTAAGTGAATACAAATTGTAAACAAGCTGAAGCACCACTGCCAGCTGAAACTAAGTCGTGTTATAGGTGCAGAGACTTTAAATTATGTTTGTTTGTGTCTTTCTCATGGACTAGGTGTGCCTACAATACACCATTCACGGGGTTACAATTGTGCAGTGATGGCTCAAGAGATATAGTAGTCGATGAGAACAGGAAAAGAAAGTGCCTGTATGAGAAATGCCACTATTTAAAATAAAAATAATAAAATCAACAGGCAGCTGGTCATCCAAGGCATTCTTGGCTAAAGAAAGTTTGTTTTATTTTCTGTGTTTCACAAAGGACTGAGTGAGTGTATAAAATCTGTGTTCTGCCAAAAGCAGTGTATAAAGGTAGCATAATGCCGACAAAGCGCTGATGGGCCAAAAGAAAGTGGTAGAAGACGCTCTAAAAGAGCAGCAAGGGCAGGATTAAACCTGGCAGAGCAGCTAAGTACTGTTCTTTTTCTCTGTTTTTATGGGTATGAATCTATGCACAGTCACCCCCCCTGTAACAACCATAATTATGATATGTGATTGCAGGGGATGCCGGATATGGGTATACGGGGCTGACCCCTAGTGCAACATTTAGAGAATGCTTGCTGCCGTAAGCATAGGGCTATTACTGGTGTTGACCTGACTGTAGTCAGGTGAATGGGCGTGCAAGCCATGAGGCAGTTTCAGGACAAAATAGATGAAGCTGGACCCTGCTGTTGCCAAACTAGAACAAGTTGGAAAGAGATCACATAAGGTATTTCTGACTGAATGGGTGGTTGCTAGAGGTGTGAGGGTAATGGCAGGGCCTGGGTGTGAGTAATGGGGTCAGGGCAGTTCTGCAACGTGAGGCTGCAGTGTGTAGAAAGTAGTGGCAGACCTGCTGTGAGGAGAGGGAGGAACAATGGGAACGTTTGCCAGCGCTGGAACAGTACCAATAGTTTTTAGGTCCTGGTAGGATAACTGCGATAAGATGTGGTTTTAAGAATGTTTGTACAGAGGTTCTGAATGCATCGCCTCAGGATGTAGAGGAGGCTTGGGACAAAGCGGACAAGCCTGCCTCAGGATCACACAAGTGGTGAGAATGGGGATTGTGCAGGCAAAAACTTGTGAGGCTGAGGCATTTGGTCTTCATTCACCCAGATCTGCAGTAATGCAGGGAACTGAAGCACCTGCTGGTGAAGCGAAAGGAGGTCGGGGAGGGCGGGGCCCGGTGTGTGGATTATTATTCAGGAGAAATAGTGGAAGCAACTGTGCTGACACAGAGGCCAGGGACAGGCGCACCCTCCGCCGCTCTACCTCTCGCCGGGAGGTGGCACCAGCTCAGCCTATCAGCCGGGGCCAGGCGCCTTAAACAATGACATTTCTATACACCTCAAAATACAGTGTCCTTGTAGATGCTGCGGCTACCCATCAGATGGGGTTACTAAAACGGGGGTGCAAGAACAAATTCGTGAATGTCATATGCCTAATATTGACCGTTCCTTGATAAGAGGTTTAGTACTACTGGTACACCAATTGAATATTGTAGGGTTGTAGAACTGTGTTGTACGAACAGAATGGGCAGAGGTGCGGATTTCAGTATTGTGATAACTCATTTGAGCCTTCCTTCTTTCTCAAAGAAACTTGCAAGAGGTGTGGTTGTCTATACTAGGCGGAAGACCTTAGAGCCAGCCAGGCGGTACAGAAGAGATGTTTTGAAGAGTCCAAGTGGTATAAAAATTAAAGCTAAAGGAGACTTGCTTATTGTTGGGTTGTATCCTTAGATCCCCAAACGACCCTCTAAATCAAAAAACTTAAAACGTAATAATAGCAGCGATACTCCTTCATGCCTGTCATGGGACTGTATAAGCGACATACGACTTGAAAGCAGGTTTAAGTAGCTTGAATAACTCTTCCTCTTTTGTAGAAACTCAGAGATATTTTTCTGTTCAACATGTTAGAGACGACGTACAGATGGGGCAAACACACCCCAAACCATGACCTGTCGCAATAAGCAAGGAGGTGTGTGGTAGGCAAGCTGGAACATCTTGCCTCCGTTAACAGTCACCATATAGTGTTGTCATTCAGATTTAACTGTTACTGGTTCGGTGAACCGGTGATTTCGTCTTGAAATTGGCGGATGGGCTGTCCACTGACGGCTCATTAGCAGACACTCATGAATCTCCTTAACTAGTGACCCATTTGATGGGTAAATGTATACCAATTCAAACCGGTGCTCTAGGAATACTGAGATCTCATGAACCGTGGGTAGACAAAGTTAAGAAGAAAACCCAGAATTCAAGATGTGGGTTGGGTCAAATGATGAGCAGGACAGGAGGATGCAAGGCAGAAAGCAAGCAAAGATAGAATGTAGAAGGGTGTTCCAGGGATGGTTTGCAGTCCATGCAAAGAAAGTCAAAATTAAGCATAGTAGGGTATCAGACCTGAGGCAGATGGTGAATTCACGCACTGGCCAGGATAAAGCAGGGCATTGGGCAGCTAATATAGGTGTTCACAAGAGGATGTGATGAACCTTCCTGCGTTTGAGAGGACAGATGGTTAAGCACTGTTACATTGTGAAGAGGTATGAAAAAAACTGTCCAAGCAGGTCATAAAATTCGGCCTGACATGGGTGCATCCTAAATTGCCAGAGTTGTGCAATGGCTTTGAGCCTAGAAGATCTGTTTGTAAATGCTGGATGAACAAATGGTCCCAATCAGATGAAGAATGCTTGTAGGTCCTATCTTCAAGAAGGCGTCGTCCTCCTGAACAACTATAGACGGTGAGCCTGGCAGGCATAATATGTAAAAATGCTTGAAATTATTATCAGAGATAAAATGGAACATCTCTCACGAAACAACCTTGTAAGTTACCAACAGTTTTTGTGTGGTATCTGCGCCCTTACAATTGCTCAAGGTTTTGGATACCAGATGGGGTAGTAATATATAATATTTACCTAAATTTTTGTCGGCTTTGACAGTATACCTGACTGAAAATCAAACTGGAAGATGCAGAATTAAAATGTACTAGCGTGGATGAAACTTTCTATATGACCTAAGCAGTGTCAGTGATTATTGCTTTTCAAATCATCTTCTGTACACCTGCTCTGGCCCGAGGTACTACAGAATTTGATGTATTGGGCCTTTGTTGTTTATTTGTTTCATAAATGGCATGCTAGCGTTCTTACACTCCTCCGCAAAAAGTTTGCGATAGCCAGGAATTATTTGATCAGAACCCAGCGGACTGTGAAGCAGAAGGACCTCTGTTTGCTCCAGAATGGTGAAGAATGGCTGCTGGTTAATGTCACCAGTGTAGAGAATACTGTGCGTGCCAGTGAGAGGCGTCATCATATGTCATCCCCAACAGGATGGAAAGCTGCTATTTGGGGCCTTTGATTGAAAAGGACCTGCGTGTGTATGGTGACAATGGGCGTGGGGATTCTGAATATTATTCACGAAGAAGATAAATCAAACGGAAATAAATTAATGGGTCTTATGAAGTCGTTCAGATATCTAGACGGTCCGTCTATAACGATCTTCAAGGTAGTGTTCCCCATCTGTAGTACTATCACCGTTTGGTCCCGGATGTATGGGTTGTCAGTTAATTTGAAAATGGTCAGGAGGCACCAAAGACTGGTGCCCTGCCTTGGCACCTCAGCTACATGAGATTGGGTGCTGAACTTTGGTTTATATACTACTGATGGCAAGGGCCCAGCTAATTGGTGTATAAGCATCTCGAGGCACTCTCAGTGGGTATCATACTTGGAGCTGGTGGGCCTCTTTCTCACAAGGTCTAGCTCAAGATTGAAGAAGCTGCAAGTCAGAAACTGTGAAGGGCAAGCTTTCGGGTGAGTTGTGAACTCTTGGAACAGTCTGAAACAGCGGCACAGTGTGGGCTCTTTCAAGACAAGACTTAAACGGCCAACACTGGGCGGGTTTAGGTGCATTCAGGGCAGTGCCATGCCTTCTTGCAAGTGTATAACAGAGCGTCGCTCAAGTGATTAATGGGCCAGTCATTTGTGAAGGATGAATGTGAAAGGCGTCAGGGCGTGACCGATTTGGCTAACGAGCCGATCAGTGGTGAAGAGAATATAAATAAGTTATTAGATGAAGTCAAGTATCATCTTGTAATTCAGAATAGCATTTTGCATATGTGTATTTTTATAGGCAGGTATTTTCATGCATTTTTATGCCTTTTTATTTTTGTAAGTGTAGTCCATACATGACTTGGTTAGAAAATTGCATTGGTTAATTAGTTTTATCAATACATGTAATTTAATCATAGCTGTACACTTTTGTTTCCTGTCAGTTTTTTTGTTGTCAAGTTTCACTGCATTACTCTGCATGACAAGATAATGCAGTTAAGCCTTAAATAAGATGAACACAGTCCTTGGTGTGTAGTAGAATAAGCATACTGTACTCTTATGATTCAGAACTTTTAACTTTTAAATATTTCTAGTAGATAAATCAATTAGTCATATTATGCTTTTTAAAATAATAATGAAATATGTTAAATGTAATATGTTTTATAATGGTAAACTCTTCTTGTACATATTTTAAAGAGTATAAGCTCATGATGAAGGAAGCAATTTATTACAGGATTTTATGTTAATTTAGTTGGGAATTACTAAAGTTGACAGATAGATATTGAAAGCTAAAAAGGCTGAAATAAACTATCAAATTTCCCTTCCATTCCATTTATCATCATACCATCTTTTGCAGCTCTCGGACCCGGCAAAGGCAACAATATACAAGTTTCGGGCCCCATCTGTGTCTGCTGCAAAGTCCTGGATATCTAACCTACAGCAAGCTCTCTCAGAAAATATACAGAGACCACCTGAGACTCTTGAAAATCTTATGACATTTGAGTAATCAAAGAAATAATCTGTTCTAACTCAAGATTTTTATTTTTATTTGGGTCCATAAAAGCATCTTTCCCTTGATTTAAAAAAAAAAAAAGAATAACCTCATTGATAAGATAATTAGCTCGATGTAATTTAATTAATCGTGGGAGGATATACAATATGTTTAGTAAGGTGATGTACTGGAGTGAAAAGTAGTGCATAAGTAAAAGATGATACAGAACACATGTGAAGGATAATTAATTCTATTGTGCGAGAAAAGAAAAACAAAGAAATTGGTAATTGAATGAGGCTACTTCTATTATAGGAAAAAGATGATAAACACCACTCAAACACTTTTGTTCCCTGCACTAAACACTGTAGTGAGGAACTTGTGCTGTGTTATGCTGATGTTACCATGATCCAATCCATTCATTTAAGAGTGTGATAAAAATGTCTTGTGTTTTTAAGTGAGGAGCATGGAAGGAATAATTTTATTACGCCAGTATGTCTGCCACAGTTCTTGCCTTTCTCAGTGATCCAGAAATTGCGATTTTTAAGTCTCTGAGGATTATTCTTGAAGGTCATTCTACCCCAGCTAGCGTGACTCTTTGTGACTCATTCCAGTCTGTATAGCAGCTTTTATTTCCTGAATTTCTGAGCTTCGCTGTGATTATCTAGGTACCATGAGCTCCTAGTCAAAATAAGTCGACAATGGTAATGTATGTACACGAGTGGCCTGTCGTCATGTCCCCATTAGCCACAAATCGAGTACTTCCCGTACTGATATTAATATTTACCGAGTCAAGTGGTGTTTCAGAAGGTGGCCTCTTGTCCATGCTGTGAAGGGTGCTTAGTCAATACTAATATTATCAGATGAACATAAATCTAGTCTTTAATACAGTCTGTACTGCCAAAGGAAATGGGGTGATTTAGTTTCTTTTACTTTAGATAAAAATAAATGGGATTGAGTGATATATTTTAACATGAAACTTGAGAAATGCTTGGTTTGGAGAGTGTTTGGTTTGTCATTGTTTCACATTGGTAGATAATCCATTGGTAATTTCTTCCTTTGGAATTCATGCAAAATTGTATCTAATTCTTGGTTATCAGTGAGAATTTATTATTTTAAATTCCATATGTGGTATTTGTAAGTTTGCTGGGGACATCTCCCTCAGGAATTATCATAATCTTTAAACAGACAATAATTATGAATAACTGGTAAAGTATCTTTCATATAAAAAAGTGGTTGGTGATATTTTATTTTATTTTATATATTTATATATATATATATATATATATTTTTTTTTTATGGATAGTACCACTTAAAGCATGGGCTTACCCAAAGTGTGTGTTGCTATTTTTCCCCCCAAAGCCAGGTTTATTTGACACAAGGTGTGACGATATCATCAAAGTCCCTCCCCTTCCTAGTTTTCTGAACACAGTAGTGAGAGGGGATTATAGCCTAGATATTTGGAAATAGATCAGCATGTAGGAGTTTCAGTACATTCTGTTTACTCTCACTAAAATCCAAGCTTTTTAAAATAGAAAATATTGAAGGTAAGTAAAATAATTTTAAATTGTATTTAAATTCTCATGTAAGTTGGATACTGGTGCGAGTACATGTAACTTTGTAGGTATTGTGAATGAATGTAATGTTAGGTGGTTCGTTGCTGCCTCTGCTCACGTTTATATGGTCGTGTGATTGTGTCTGTCCTACACTGCATCTGCACACCAATACCAAAATTTTAAATCATTACAGTGGCTTTTATGTAAATAGGTACAGGTTGCTTCCAGGTTTTTATGTCCTTACTGGCATTGGGAGAAGCTAAAACAATACTGTAAATTCAAATTTACACCCAGTGAAGCATTCCTTATTCATTTCACATGAGCACACTATAGACTTGCAACTTCCAAATGTAAAATATATTTGCTTCAAAATATTTTCAATTAAAAAAAGTGCTGCATTTAATTTTCTATATAATGTGGGACATAGAATACATGACAGCAGTGTTCTTATGTGAATGGATCCTGTAAGGAATCTTTTACACTATTATGAACACTATAGATGTCTTTGTGGAATATTGAAAAATTTTCTGGATTTCATATTTAGACAACCAAAGCATTAATCTGATTAGCATTTTTTTTAGTTGCATGACATTAAAAAATTTAAATTGATTACTTTTCAATAAGTGAAGAAATGTACAATCCCTCCCCAAAAATATCATTAGATTTTCTGTTGCTGCAATTTGAAACGCAAGATGAAATGCTTTGATATGATCATAAGTTGTTATGCCTGCTCACCATATCAGCAACAGTTAGAGATGGGGTAAGGATTGTGGGGAGGGAATCGTCCTTGTATGGCACACTAGATGCTTCAATGTAACAAGAAATCCATTCAGCCATATTAATACAAGTATATGTATCGTTCGAAAACATTTATACTCACGCTCGGAGGTAGTGGATGTAGAATTACCAACAGTTCAGAAACAAGTCGAGTAACATTACTCGTAAAGCCTCAGATCACATCAATCACATGACTAACAATACTTTTTGGTGGGGACTGTACATAATGTTCTAATCTATTGAAGTGATTTGTCATTGATTTTTTTTTTCTAAAAAAATAACTTATTTCTGTTGTCACTAACCTAGATTAAGCCTTTCAAAAAAAACACTTTGAATGTATCATTAATGGCACATCCATCTACACATGCATACCTTATGTTTACAAACTCCATTACTACTTTTGATGTCATTTCCCTTGTTTTTTATTGTCATTAACTCAGTTTTATTTTGATTCATCTGATAACTTACATTTTTTTTACTACACTGGCACAAATCAGTTCTTAACAAAAATTCATCCCAGCTGCATCCACTTTCTTGACTAACATCTCCACACACATTGATGGATGTCCTTGGTGATGTCAGTATTTTTTATTAGTTTAATGCATAAAAGAAATGTTTTCCAATGTTATAGAAAAGATATCTCTCATAAGAATTGTGTATAAGTTGAAGATGATTATAATGTGTTCAAGAGTTTGACAAAGTAAATAGTTTGCCAGTTATAAATTACATTCAAGTTATTTACCACACATATCTTGCTAAAGTTGGAATGTGATATAAGCACATATGACCATTTGACTTTTGGTGGAGTGTCAGCCAAGTATTAAGCTGTATCCTGCAGTGGATTGTAATACTGTATTGTTCACAGTTCATTTCTTGAGTACCTTGTCTATCAATCCCAAAGCACATGTTCTTAAAACCAAAGATTAGGGTCAAAAAGTAATTTATTGAAACAGAAGTACACATGGTCGCATTGTTCTTGTATGTTTACACACTGTAATTGATTTTAGGCTGTGAAATATATGATGTATAAGTTTTGATGTGCATCCATCACTTGTACTTGTGCATGGCAGTCATGGAGGAACTGCATGCATTAGATATTCCTAAATAGTGTTTAAGCTGATTTCCCAGAAACCTCTGAATTTTAGAGGTCTGAAATTATCAGCAGTTATCAGATTCTTTTTAGCATTTTAAAGAAAAGTTCTTCATATATATATATATATGTTGTAAATAAAGCTTAAGATGCAAAGAAAATGCTAAAAAAATCTGAAGATTCCTGATAAGTCTCAAATACTCATTCCAAACTGTAATGGAAGCCTCTATTATAGAGGTACCAGAATTCAGTATTATTCAAGCTTATAATTAACACACACCTTTTGTATATACAGTATTTGCCTCGATTGTTTTCACAAGACAAGTGTCAATGTTTATATTGTAGTAAATGAAACACAAGCTCGGAGAGAGAACTTTATTTCTAATTTTTCATCACAGACTTTATCAAAGGAATGAACACTGTACACCTAACAATTGTAAAGAAGATTCATGCCCAAACTCATCCTCTCGTTGGTCTGTTTTCACTCGCCTATTTAACCAATTATGTGTTGCCACTGCAGTGTAGGAAGCATCTCCAGGTTTTTGAAAGAATCTACCATGAAGTTAGTCGTGACACCAGGGATGAAGACATGGTTAAGAAGAAAGAAAACCAAAGGAAGACAAAATGCTTTGCAGGATACCACGGTTAGCACGTGACTTGTATGAAGTCTTATAACAGTGAGATGAGCAGAGGGACTGGCTGCTGTGAGCACATCACTGACATCAGATGACATCTAATGGATTTTGTTAGCTGCTTGATGAAGTATGACATCTGCTAAGGTAGGAGGAGGCCAGCATACTTCATAAAGACATGAACAGGAAGAAAATAGAAACGGCATACATCACACTAAAACTAAATATTAAAAAAAACAAGAAGTATGGCCTGAGTCCTGAACTTTGGCAATAAGTACATAGTCAAATAGGTGAGAGAAAACAGACTAATGGCAGGATGAGCTTGAGTGCAGGATCTTCTTTATAAGCACATTGTGTACTCCTGTATTCATTCCTTTGATAAAGTCCTTCATGACAAAACATGAGGAATAAAGATGTTGAAGTCTGTACTTCCTTTGCTACCATATAATCATCTGTTCAAATGAATCATATTCAAGTGTCAATGTATAGAAATTGTCCAAGCTCAGAACACAACAATAAATGTGTTGGTATGGTATTGCTTCCAGTAAGTTGCTATACAAAAAATTTTAGCTTTAGCAATTCAGAGGAAATACTGTGGAAGAAGGTTACACGAGATTTGTCCCTTGTATTATATGCTGTGTGATTCTATGAGCAAATGTAAAAATCTTAAATCTTGGTTTCCAGATAACAGTCCAAGCTGAGATGTTAGTGAACTGTCAACACTTTCATAAATGAGTGCTCTTATGTTTGTAGCAATAAAACATTAATCTTTGTGCATATTAAAAATGTTATTTTCATGACCTTAAAAAGTGTCAATTAACCTCTTAATGGTCACTGACATTGTCCTTCCTCGGCATAAGGTAATTGGTCACTGACATAGTTTGTCACGTTAAGCTAGGGTTCCATAGGTTTTGGGGAGTGCCCCTGTGGGTCCAGATCTGTAGAATAACTCTTTTATATGACTTGGCAACTTGTGGCTATAAGTAGACGAGTGTGTAGACAGAAAAAGTGGAGAGTGTGTGTGTGGTGAAGGGAGGAGCGTAATGTTCCCCCCTTCTATTTTGCAGTGTTACTACATCTCCCAGTGAAAATTTTCAGGGTACTATCTGACACCCAACTTTGTGCCTCCAGTGTACTGTACAGACAGTAAAAAAAAAATATCGCACAGGGGGGTCTGCTGACATCTGTAATGATCCATACCAAGGAAGGTAGAGTGAGGAAGCTCAACTCCCTTGCGTGTATTTTTCAGTGCCGCCGTTTACTATGTCATCTAGCGCTGAACGACATAACTAAGGAAGTATTCAGAGAAAATGAAAGATGCCGTATAACGGGTTAACTATACCTTGACGTATTTATAATCTGGTATTTATATATTTATACTTGTATATTTATTTGCACTTCATTTATTCATTCGTGAAGAAAACCTTACCTCATAATCAAATGTAAAACGTCATTCATTCAAAAATGACTGAAATTACAGTCTCAAGAATTTTTTTCATGGTTAAACACATTTTTTACAATATCACTATTGTCAGATTGTAGAGGTTCTGTATAAAGGTAAACAAGAATGTTATAATGCACTTTATTATATAAAGTAACAATAACAAGAAATACAGAAAGGGGTGATTCACCATAACAAAATATATATATATATATATATATATATATATATATATATATATATATATATATATATATATATATATATATATATATATATATATATATATATATATATATATACAGTATAGTCTCGGTTTACACGGTCAATTAAACCCATGGAGGTCCGCGTAAAACGAGAAACGCGTAAACGAAATAACAGATCATATGGGATTAATTGAAATAGAGACTGGGCCAACCCCCCCCAGACTACCCTTTTTTCGACAATACTTACGTTGTAGTAAAAATTACATCTTAATTTTATGATGGTACGCGCACACAATTAATATTTAAGGGAAATATCAATAATATTAGGTTTTTAACACTTGCGTTAGTAGAAGAGATGGCTGGGCACACGGGGATGGGGGGCTGGTTCCGAGGCAGAGGGCAGATTATTGGCCCTCGCCTGTATCAATTGTATCACTATCCACCACAGAGGCTTGCAGGGCCTCTTTGTCAAACCCCTCAAAGTCCTTATCCTCACGATCACTGACTTGGGCTGGCTGTGGTGGGTGGCGGGTGAAGAACTCGGTAATGAGCTAACTGCATTATACTCTACTTTCTTACAAAACTTGGTTATTATGTCATCCGCTTTAAGACCAACGAGGTTGTCAATGGACAGCCTCGGAATGTACTGGTGGTTATGGGGACCAGGAGATCGGCTGGGCCTATCGTTAGGAGAAGACAAAAGTGCAACCGAGGCAGGGGGAGTAGGCATAGCCAGTTCCTCCCGCCGTTCACTAAGCAACGCTTGTTGTCGCCTCACTGTATCCATCGACTCAGCGAGTTTAGCAGTTTAGCCCGAAGAGCTTGGACTTCCGTTGCTAGTTCAGCCGCGGTTTTGGTCGTCACGGTCCCCTGATCTGCGTTAGTATCTGCCATCGTGTTACAAAAAATCAACCACTACAATTCACTGTAACTACAGCAACATGCACAGTGCACACTCAAGACACAAGGACTGGGACTCAACTGACTTTCTGCAAGACGACTTAACATTCAAGGCATCAACTACTCAAAATACTGTTCAGATTATTATTCTCCCAAAAAGATAATATTGCATGTAAAATAGACTGAGACAATTTGCTATCCACAAACTCTGTATGGTGCAACACTGCGTGAACACTTCACGAATTTCTGTACTCACAATTGCGGGTCCATACACTTGTATAACACTTTCCATATACAGTACCGTATCACCATAAGGTCCTCATAAATAATACAGTACTATGAAAGTATACCGGCATTAGAGTTCACATAACAAACAATGTTCCACCAAATAATGAACCACTCTGCATTAAAAAAAAACTGGGGCTAACAACTGATTAAAATACACATTACAATTATAGCATACCTGTACAGAAATATTAATATATGGAACTGTAAAACACCCCTAGATATTAAGTAATGGAATATATGGTCTACCTAACACATAAACTAAAGAATATTACAAGTACAAACTTAGCATCCACTTAACCTTTGCATATAGTGCAATACTTCTGTTAGCAACTCGGAAGTGAAACACTGGGCACTCCCATGATGAAAACATTTCACAAAACTAGTGCCACGTCCCAAACATAACTCATGGTCTGTAAGTAATACTGAGTTTTGAATCGGCTGGATTGTCCAATTAACCAGGCCGTTCACATATATTTATTATTTGGGTTTAAGTCACGAAACCCAACTGTAACATAACATAACAA